GCAGCGCTGCGTCGGAATCGCGGACCACGGCGGCGAGCGCTCTTGCGGCCCCCAATTTCGGCGCAGCGCGGGCAGCGGCATCTAGGGTCTGTCGGGATTGCTTTGAGCCCCGTCGCCCTGGCCGGCAGGCTTCAATTCCGCCTCTGGCAGTGCACCGACAGGTTCTGCGCCATCGCCTCCTGGCGGGCCACTGCCTCTGGGGGGGCGGCCCCCGATGGGCGCCCGCCTCCAGGCGGCCGCGCGCGACCGCAATTTCCGCGACCTCTGGGGCCGCCCCCGCCAGCTACTGCCACTGGGCGCCAGCCCCCTGAGGGCGACCCCTGTTCCTCAAGGCCGCGCCGTTAGGCCCGACCGCGCGTGGCCGCCGCCAGGGCCCGCCCCAATTCCTGGGGCCGTCGCCCCCATGGCCAGCCCCCTTCCACCCCTTCCGGCGGGAGTGTCCGGCTCGGGCTCGCTCGCGGAGGTCCATCGCCCCCGGCGAGTGCCTGGGCCCCATAAGAGCTCGGGGCCCCGCGGTCGCCCTCCAGCGCCGGGCCGATGGAGATCGCCTCAGCGGCTGCCTGCGCGGCAGCGGATCGAGCCATTTTCCATAACCGCTCCGCGCGCTCATCCATCGACATGATTGCAGCCGCTATCATGTCTTCCCGCTCTTCTGTCGGTCGGGCGCGAGGCTCTTCTTCCAGTCTCTCGGTCTTCTCAGTCATCTCGGCGAGACGGCGTTCTTCTTGTTTCTCCTCCCTTTGGCTCTGGCACTCGCTTCCTCGACCCGACGCGCCTGGGCTTCAGCAGTGGCAGTCGTTTCGCGGTGGGCTCGCCGCAGCGATCCGACGCCCCTGCGATTTCCTCGACGCTGCGCCCGCCAGTCGGCTTGCAAACGCTCGAACTTTTCATTATGCCGCCTGTGCCCTGCCGTTTCTTCATTGCCTGGCTTCCCGGGCGCCTCTTCGGCAGCCGGCGCCTGTTCCTCGTGGCGCCACGGGCGCAGGTGGGGCCGCGCACTGTAATTTCACGTTCCTTGGCGGCGGGGGGTCCGGCAGTCAACGCAGTCGGCGCGCGTCGGCGAAGCGCGCGGGCATCTCGCGTGCCTAGGCAATTTCAGCATCTCCAACAATCGCGGCGGCTTCCGCGGCGACGCGAGCCATTTCATCAGCTCTTTGCGCTCTCAAAGCCATCTGGCAGCAGCGAGGTGCCCCTCTCGGCCCCCGGCTGCCAATTGCATCTCGTGGTTTCCGATTGCCCGTTCTTCCTCTTCCAGATCAACGGTGGCATGTTGCATTTGCTGCCCGAACATATCGAGCACCCGTTGCATGTTTATCTCCACTTGTTGCTGCTGGACCCTTCCACTCGGCCTGCCTGACGCCCAGGCATGTACTTTGCCCTTGTGTGAAACGACGCAAAGACCATTGATGCTACGGTGCTAACGGACCTGCGATCACGCATCACATCCTGGTCTCTGACATCGGCCGATCCCCCTGGACAGCGATTCTCAGCGTTCGCTGCGCACTCTGAAACCGGTCGGCATCCAGCATGTCTCGACCACAGAGACCGCGCGAATAGCCGATATCCGATCGAATTTGGAGCCTCTGCCTCCTGTCCCTTGCCGTGCCCGGGTCAAAACGATCGTTCCTCGACCTGTCTGTGTTGGAGCTCAAGGGGGACGAGGTGGGTGCTTGTTTCTCAGCTGCCCTTCGCCGTTCCAGCGTCGGGGCCCCGATGGCCCTGGGGACTGGCGGCCGTCTTCCATCTGCCGCGTGATCAAATATGAAATCACTGGCAGGCGGAAGCGAAGGCGCAGCGGCATAGCCACCATGACCAACGCACGCGCAAGTACCGTCATTCATCGATCCACAGTCATGTCTTCGGGGGCTTGGATAGCAGGCGCCAGGGACTGCGATGATACAAAGCGGAGCCTTTTTCACACCCGTCGACCCGTCACTTTCTTAATATTCCTCACGGGTTCTCGTTGGCGTTAAAACGGACGTTGGATGACAAATTCCCCCTCGCCGTGCCCAAAGACACTGGCCATTCATTTCCTCGGTGCCAGCTCTGGACGAATATTTCATGCATATCGGGCGTTTGTCCGCTGAGGTGGCTTTGAGCTGCTCCGGATGACTCAACAGCCGCCTCAGAAACCACAAGGGACTAAACATCTACTGGGGCTTCCTCGTCGTCAACTGGGACGTCGGTGCTAGTCGTTTCGATCGCCTCGACGTTGACGTAAATATTCTTCGGTGAGTCTCTTCCGTACAAATTGCCCACCGGCTAAGATATTCTATGAGAGGTCCATCGCCAGACGGAACCAGCCGACCCGCCAGCTAAGGGGGGCGCCTGTCTCGTTTTCCCGGCGCCGCCCTCGTCATACTTTTTTGCACGGATCCGACGCCAAAGGCAGAGGTAGGCCTGGAAGTTCTTCTGGCGTCCAGATGTTGTGCCCCACGGGGGTCGGAGAACGCAAACTGGGACCCTTTTTCGTATAGATTTAGTCATCCTGGTATTGTTCCCGTGTCGTGGCTTTGTAGCCGCCATGACGATCCTTATGGCGCTCGTTATCGCGTTGATATTCCGTCACATATTCGGCGGACGAGCAGTAATTTGCCGGATGTTCATTGAATGTTGATATTCGGGCATTGTCCTTCCTCTGGTTTCCTACTAATCTCAGGGTTCCCTCTTTTAGGATTAAGTCGGGCCTGTCCCCCTTACAAAGGAATTTTGGACGAAACATAAAGATAGTAAACCATACCCTAGAATACTCAAACATGTTCAAACACTCGTCCCCCTTATTCATTATTTTTGGCTATGTTTGAACATTCCTCCTGTAGAGGGACAGGCCCGACTTAATGTTAGGATCTTGTTGACGCATGCTCCCTTCACGAAGTCATGTTTCGGACATTCCATTGTTTCGTTAAGTATGTGGCAGGCTCGATGATGATGATGCGCCCGCGTTACGAGATAGGCGCGCGCACGCTTTTGCCGCCTGACCTTGCGCGTCGCAGGCCAGCAGAAGCTGCCTCTCCAGCTGCTTAGGCCAAACGCGCAGTAGCGCTCGCGCAGGCTCGCACAAAATTAAAGAGGGGCACAGGGGAGCGATAGTAACGGCTGATATGGAAACCAGATGTGTCTCTCTACACCCTGCGAAATGCTTAAGAAATCATGGGTTAAGAAATTCATAGTCTCAGAAATTGAATGAAACCCAGAAGTTCTATCAAAATCTTGGGATCTACAGTCAAAAATCAAGAACAGTCGAGACTCCTTCCGAGAACTTAAGTTTTCTCAAGCATCGCCTAGGGTGTACCTCTCTCTCTCTCTCGGCCTCTCTGTGGCCTGCTTCTTCCCCGTGCCAGCACGCGCAAGGACAGGCATGGCCTGGCACGAGCACGTGCCGCCGGACGAAGGGCCAGCGACGAAGGGCAGGTCTGGCGCTGAGACCGGCTCCTCCCCCTCCTCCCCCTCCTCCCCCCTCCCCCTCCTCCCCCTCCTCCTCCTCCTCCTCCTCCTCCCCCTCATCCTCCTTCCCCTCCTCCTCCGCCCGCGCATGGGCGATGGAAACCAACTGTGTCTCTCTACCTCTCTCTCTCTCTGCCTCTCTGTGGCCTGCTTCTTCCCCGTGCCAGCACGCGCAAAGGCAGGCATTGGCCTGGCACGAGCACGCGCCGCCGGACGAAGGGCCAGCGACGAAGGGCAGGTCTGGCGTTGAGAGACCGGCTCCTCCCCCTCCTCCTCCCCCTCCTCCCCTCCTCCCCTCCTCCTCCTCCTCCTCCTCCCCTCCTCCTCCTCCCCCTCCTCCCCTCCTCCCCTCCTCCTCCTCCTCTCCTCTCCTCCTCCTCCTCCTCCCCCTCCCCCTCCTCCCCTCCTCCCCTCCTCCTCCTCCCCCTCTCCTCTCCTCCTCCTCCTCCTCCTCCTCCTCCTCCTCCTCCTCCTCCTCCTCCTCCTCCTCCGCCCGCGCATGGGCGATGGGTGCAGCGCGCGATGCGAAGCGCCGACGGTGGAGCGCACAGGATCGGCAGGTGGCGACGTCTGAACCCTACCCCAACTAATCATCGACTCTCCTGAATCGACGGGAGGCGAGGAGAATGCGAATGTCGCCACATGTTCGACGAATGCCGAATCTTACCCCAGCTCTGAGAAAAAACAGAACGCCATACACAAAAACTTATGGCGCTCCGCGCGGATTTCTTGGATCTGCGCCGGACCCCACTCCCTGGCGCGCGGAGCGCGCCAGGGGCGGCGCCGGAGGCGCCGCGGGGGGGGCCCAGCGAGGATCCAAGAAACCCGCGCGGAGCGCCAAAAGCTTATGTTTATGGCGTTTTTTTTCTTCGATCTCTGGTATCCGGCCGTGGGTCCGACGCGCGGCGCTGCGGCCGTTCCAGAGCGCTCCGGGAAGCTCGGAAAGCTCTGCGGAAAGCTCTGGAACGCTTTATTATCCCGGCCCTTTGCCCGCCGGGGATCGCTTTTGATGGCGGCTCGGGCTCGGCCCCTGTAGGCAGGAGAAAGAATCGGTCCGTGCCGGACGGCCTCCTCCTCCTCCTCCTCCTCCTCCTCCTCCTCCCCCTTCTCCCACTCCTCGTCCTCGTCCTCGTCCTCATCCTCCTCCTCGTCGTTCTCCTCCTCCTCCTCCTCCTCCTCCTCCTCCTCCTCCTCCTCCTCCTCCTCCTCCTCCTCTTTCTCTGGGATCGGGATCGATGCTCGGGAGGCGAGGAGGAGCCCTTCAGCTCCAGAGGAGCAGAATGTCTCGGATCCTGCCTCAGGACGGGGAGGAGGATGCAGGAGAGAGGAAGCGAGGAGGAGCACTCCAGCTCCAGAGGAGCAGAATGTCTCGGATCCTGCCCCAGGACGGAGAGGAGGATGCAAGAGAGAGGAGGTGAGGAGGAGCACTTCAGCTCCAGGGGAGCATAATGGCCCTAGAGCATGGGGAGGGGGCGAGGAGGCGGATGATCCAGATGGGCAGGCGGAGGGCTCGACGGCAGGAGCGTGTGTGGGATGCTGCCCTGCGGGGGCTGGTCCTTCTCCGTCTGCTGGAGCGCCTCCTCGAGGCTGGCCTTCTCCTGCCTGAGCACCCTCACCTGCTCCCTGCCCTTCTCGTACGCCTGCTCGAAGGCCTTCACCTCCTCCGTGCTGAACTGGCCTCGGCCCCCAAGAGGAGCAGGCGAGGTCTCAGAGCGGGCCCCTCCTCCTTCTATCCTTCTCATCCCCCCCAGTGAAAGCAGCTTACGTGATCTAGTTGCGAGCCAGGAGAGTCACGGTCACACAATTAGATTTAAGTCGGGCCTGTCCCTCTACAGGAGGACTATTCCCAAATAGTCAAAAATAATCTGGAGACGATGTTTTGAATATGTTTGGCAAGTTTGGAATATGCTTTGAATATTTAGCATTTGTTGCCCAACATCCCCATGTAGGGGGACACGCCCGACTTAAACTTAGATATCATATACCAGAGACTGCACGTGAGAGGTGCGTACAACAATGTTGGCCATATAGAGAGAGGGGCCCAGTGTGGTACCTGTGAAAGGAATACGATGTTAATACCACTTGCTTAATACGGTGGGGCATTGGATAAGGAACCAAGGGATAAGGAATCCAGGGTCTCGAAGCCAGTGGAATTTCGATCGTGGATTGGCCATGAATAGTGCAGCCGCCCTTATCAGATGAGGAATCGTCCAGGGTCTGAAGCCCACTGGGCACATTCCTTAACGAACGCCCCCCCGTAGTTGGTGTGCAATTGTATATATATATATATATATATATATATATATATATGCACACTAGAACCGTCGCGCGCGCTTCAAGCGCGCTCAAGTTCTAGCTAGGCTTGAAGGGCTAACTCATGGGATATCATGGTTGTCGTGTCCTGCATCCAATGATTCCCTTGAGGGCCCCGCGCAAGCCTCGGAATCGCATAGAAGGGGAACTGCGGAAACGCAGAAATCATTAATTCCAGTCAGTTATTCAACGATTTGGGGCCCTCAGAGGCTGCCTGGTTCTTTTCTGGGAGCTGCGGGGGTCTTAATTGTGGTCTGTTGCGCAAGAGTAGACAGGGGGGGGGGTCGTATCTGAAAAAAGGGAAATGTGGGATTTCCCTTGCTTTTCAAGTTGCCGTGCCTGGGCTGTGGGTTTGAAGTTTTCTGGATGCAGGCCACGGTCTGTTGGGATGCCTCTCGTGGTCTTCGTGCAAACATAAGAAGGGTGTGAACAAAAACAATGAATTCTAAAAGTCCTCTCTTTTCCAACTCTCGATTTCTACTGTGGTTTCAGGGGCAGCAAAGAGGACGCGAAGACGATCCAAGAGGATGCCAAGGCAGCGTTAGAAAATTCAACAGCACTCCCGAACAATCCTTGCATGCGACCCCGAAGTCTTGATGGGGCTCGCGGAAGAGGATAGGCAGTAAGAGTCCCAAACTAGAAGCAAACTAATCTCTGGAATCCCTTTTTTGTTCCCAAGCTCCTCGGTCTTTGAAGTCCCTTGGAGGCTTTCTGGGACCCGAGAGCCGACCGAAGGCTATCTTGGGTTGCTTGGGGGCGTCTTGGGACGTTATTTTACGTACGGCAGGTTCGCGTCGTGTCGACCCCGGCGTTGGTTTCTGACACCGCGGAAATCGTTCACCCTTGAACGATCGGCCGTTTCTGAAACGTCCAAATCGTTCCACATCGAACGATTCTGGGTCGCCTGCGGCGTTCAAAGATGAACGCCGCTGGCGGGGTCGCCGCCAGTCGACACGACACGAACCTACCGTACTGGAAACTTCTTGGGGTCGTCTTGGGCTGCCCTTGGGCGTTTTGGGGGTCCCCCGGGGCCGGAGCGCGCGGCGCCGGGAGCCTGCCGTGGAGGTGGACCCCGAGTCAGCGGGATTCACCCCAGAGGAGCAGGCTCGGATGGCCAACGGGGGGCCACCCTCAGACGCCGGAGGAGCCAAGATCAAGCGCCGGCGTGAGCTGTGCGCCTGCGTCTCGGAGCGGCTGAATGTCAAGGGGCCCTGGGACACACAAATAAATACACATAAATAATAGGACTCCCCGATATTTACTCATATTTTCTGGGTTTTGTCTTCCCCCCACTTCCCATATGTTCCAATCTTTTCTGGGGAATCGACGCCCTCCTGATAACAAGAAACCACGGCGCGGGCAGGCCCGCGCGGGAGGCGAGGAAATGCCTCGCCCCGTGGAGCTCAACAGCGGGTCCAGCTGCGGCACCCTCGAGGAGCGCAGCCTCGACGCCAAGGGGGGCGCAGCAGGTGCTTGCAGCGCAGGAGGCACCCCTTGGTCCAGGACGAATTCGAGGGCGCGCCGCCAGGCCATGCTGGGGCAGGGCTGGCAGCTGGGGGGCAGCCCAGCGGCGGCGACTGGCACCGCGAGCGGCCGCGCGGGCACCTCGGCAGGGGTCACAATCGCGGTGCCCAAGCACATCGGCGTCTCTTGTTTGCAAGCTCTGAGTCTTGGGGCATCGCCCCCAAGGCGGCGCCCGGGAGAGCGGCCGCGTTCTGGATCGCAGGAGGCCGAGGCGTAGTGCGCGCGTCGATCTACCTCTGGACGGGTGAAGGCATGAGCTTCCGCAACCAGAAGTTGCTTGACGAGGTCATGCGTTACTTGGTCACTTCGGGCGTGCCGTGGATCCTGGCAGGCGACTTTCAGCAGGCGCCGAAGGTCTTGGGAGAGGAGGTGAGCGCGCAGAGCGCCGAGGGCGTCCTCGTCGCGCCATCCCATCCTCGGAGCTGGGCGCTTGCAGGGGCTCCTGGGGCAACAGCACCATTGACCACTCCCTTGTGTGCAGGCAACTGGCGAGCAGGGTCAGTCTGTCTGCGCACAGGAGGGAAAGGCCGTTGGCGCCGCGCAAGCCAGTGGGGCTCCGTCTGAGCCTCCGCGTGGCGGTGCAGCACGCAAGCGTGCCGGTGCGGCCTTGGAGGCTGGATGACCAGCCGGCGGGGTGCGCCCCGCAGCCGCCAAAGCACGAGGCAGTGAAGCTTTTCACCAGCCAGGCCGTGGCCACCGCGGAATACGCCAGGGTGGTTACAGCCATCGACGAGGAGGCATTCGCCCTGATGGGGCCTGGAATGGCATGCCGACGACCCGCGAGCGGGGGGAGGTACCACGCCTCGTTGGCGCCCGCAGGAGGTGCAGCCCCACAGAGGAGGAGCCAGACCGCAGGCCACGCGGGAGGGCCGCGCATGGCGCTGGCTGGACCGCACGCTGCAGCAGATCCTCCGCCAGTACGAGGCCAACGACGTAGCCTGCGCCGCAGGAGGGCCCACGGCTCAGCTCAGGACCGTACTCGCGCTGGAGCGGCAGCTCGGGCGCATCCAGAGCCAGGTGCGCTGCCTGCCTTCGGAGGCCTCGGGCAGGTGTCAAGCGAGAGGTCTCCTGCTGGCAAGCGGCCGGTGGCGGGGGGTGGCGCACAGGCCAGTCGCGCGACTGGCAGGCCGAAGCCAACGCAGAGGCGGCCGCTATCGACCGCGCGGCGAAGCGTGAGCTGGACGAGAAATGACGATCCACCTTGGAGAGGGCAGCGCAGAGGTCAGCAGGCAGGCTACACCGCTTGAGCAAGCCAGCTTAAAGGTGGCACCATAGATGGGCGGCTACCCCTGATGCGGCAGACCCGCTAACCGCCGCAGCGCGCTCGCTCGAGGAGTGGCGTCGGGTGCGGCAGGTCGCCAGCCCCAAACAGCAGCTGCCGCGCCCCCGGCTCAGTTGCGAGCGTCCATCCATGCCGCATATGGAGCTCAGCCGCCTCAAGGAGGTCAGCGGGGGCTTCAAGCCCACCACGGGCATCGGGGTGGACAGGTGGCGCCCCAGCGTGCTGAGAGGGGTGTCAGACGAGGGCCTGCAGAAGATTCTTGACATCTTGCACGGGGTGGAAAGAACGCTGATCTGGCCGGAGCATACCTCCACCATCCTGTACTTCCTCATCTCCAAGGCCTTCAAGAAGGACAAAACCATTGGGCTCCTCCCGACGCTCATACGCGCATGGGAAAATATGCGAGATCCCATTCTGAGGAAATTGGCAAAGGAGCACAGCAGGACTTGGGACTGCACCTCAGGCGGGCGGGCCGCTGAGGACGCAGCCTGGGAGGTGCTGCCGGCGCACGAGGGCGACAACCGCCGCAACATCGACCCTGAGACCATGGCAACCGCGACCACCATCTTGGATTTGGTCAAGGCCTTCGAGAGGGTCAACCTCCACATCCTGCGGGAGCAGGGCATCGAGCATGGATTCCCGCTGGCATTACTGGCCGTGGTGATGTCGTACTTCTCCATGGCGAAGCGGCTGCGGGCGCGGGGCTCCTTCAACGAGGCCGTCGGCACCGTCGCGGCGATCATCGCGGGCAGCAAATTCTCGCTGGCGCTGCTCAAGCTCATCAGGACCAGCACTATGGACAGCCCTGTCCTGCAATACCCGATGGTCGAATGGCGGGTTTACGTGCGCGTCGTTCGTTTCTGATCGTGCCCATTTCTAATTGCGCTCGTTTCTACTTGTTCCTGGCCCCCTGGTGGCCAGGAAGAGGCCCAGGATAGAACAATTAGAAATGAAAGGATCTTGGCCCCCAACAAATCAAGGACTTTCGAAGAATTAGCAATGAACAATGTGCAGGCCACCTCAGCATCAGGCAGAAAGGTGAGCCTTAGCCACTGGTCAAGATGGCGCCTGCGATGCTGGGCCGGTGCGTCGAGGACTTCGGCCGGGTAGAGCTCACCTTCTTCCTCGGGGCCAAGGGCAAGGCGGCGCCGCTCGGCAGCGCAGCCTGGCTTAGGAAGGCACTCGAAGGCCCCCTCGGCAGGCGAGCAGCGTCGGTGGTGCTGGCGGCACCGCACGTGGGCGTGGACTCGGTGACGCACGGCTCCAGCGCCAAGGTGAAGCTGGGCAAGAGGTCGAGACGGGTGGCGCGCTGGCCGACTCGGAGTCCTCCGCGGCCAAGACCGCCGCATGGCGCGCGGCGTAGCGCTGGTCTACAAGACGGGCCTGAAGCGCTCAATGCTGAACGGCGCCAGGTGCTCGGGGCTGCCGGAGAAGCACCTCCAAGTTCTCCGGCGAGCAGCAGGACGTGCTCTTCCTCGGCACGGCGGCGCCAGACTCCCCACGCTGCAGCTGGCGCTCGCTGGGGGGGGCCCACGGCGGAGGCCTCGCAGGCGCCCGTC